TGACGAGACGAGAGAACGTGTACACGTCTATGATTAGCGAAGAATGAGATGCCTATTTATTTTATTATTATTTTAGCTGAAGAATTAAACAAAATCAATTTCAGTATGTTCTCTTCTTATATTAAGTAGTTGCCGTGCGTGTTTTTTCTTTTCTTTTCTATCATTAGAGAAAGTCGGTGTTACATGGTCTAAGCATTCAATTCCAGTACAAGATCGAATATCTGCAGCTAATATAATGAAAAAGAAACCAGGTGCTATTACTAAAGTTCAGAGCATTCTAGATGATTTAAAATTTTTTTACGAATGAGATCCTTGATAAAATTATTCTTCACACAAATTACTATGCTAAACGATATTTTTAACAAACTCAAAAAAATGACGAGAAGGTTCTAATACTATGAAATTCAATTCACTTCAATGGAAAAAACATTAGATCGTATTAAATTAGAATCTTTTATTGGTTTAATAAATGATACTTTAATGCTGTTATGAACATAGTTGAAGTTAACATTTTTTCGACACTGTATACTCTCATATTGCCGCGATGGAAACTAACATGTCAGTCTCTATAAGAAGGGCATTTAGAAGTTTATAGTACATAAATGAATAGCTTGGATAAAACAATAGTATCAGTTTTTTGTCATTTTCTATGGGTGGGTCCAGGTGGACCCCACAACAGGAACGAAGTTTCAAAATGAGAACGGCGACGAAGAGTTAATTATCGATAATAATAGGTAAAATAAATGCTTCTCTTTATACACAAATGTTATAAACGTTGACATCATTATAAAGTCATATAAATCAATCATTGAACACTGACTTTTTCAAGATGATTGATTGTATGCTAACATACACCTGAAATTCACATCCACACCCTCAATTAATCTGCCACATTTTATTTTCATGGATGACGTACTCGATTTTTATTCTTCGGCACGCTATAAAAGTTCTCTTGCTGAATTATAAAAAGATTTCAAAACTCAATTAAAATTCAAACACACGCAAAATTATTTGTTGGCATATTCAATTAACTAATAGCATCACTCATTATTGTTTAGTGTTTCTTCAGCACTCTGTTCTTTTTCATTAACAATGGTATTTTTGTTTGCTTTTCAGGAAACAAGCCGCATATATCATTGACAGTCATAGCCGAGTCAATTTGTGTTTGATCAGCATCCAATGCATATAATGTATAGACGCAAGTTTCCTCTCTTGTAATACAAAATGATGAACAAGCTTGGTCTAATACGCTTGAAACAAGTGTTTCTTTATTGCATGGTAGTGTAATTGTCTTATTTTCATATGTTATTAAACTATTCATAACAGCCTTGCAAACTAAATGTAATTGAATATTGGTTGAATCTGGATCGATCGCATCCAGTGACATTTCATTATCGTCCAAAATAACATCATCTATCGTCAATTGATAAAATTCATTCTTCACATTTAACAATTTACATGCAATCTGGCGCAAACGTTCAATTGTGATTTCATGTTTACAATGAAATTGTATTGAATATTTTTCATCATTCAAACTTGTAGACACTTGAACTGCAACTGGTAAATTGCCATTAATTAGTGTAAATCGAATAGTTGAATTTTCTTGTAACGTATTTAGTTTAGTTGTCATTGATGGAACAAAATCATTCGCACATAAAAGATGTTGGTATTCATCGTCAATGCTGTTCGTTTTGTAGACAGTATCAAGTGTTGCATAGACTAATAATTGTTGGTGTACTACATTTTCTGCGGTAGCTGTCATACTATGTGATTCATTTGATGTTTCAATTGAAACAAAACATGTTTCACTCTCTCTGACAAAAATTAATTTTCTTTCATCTAAATTTGAAAGTTTTTCGTTATTCGATATCACTTGTTGTGTTTTACTTGAGGCCAAATATTTGTATGAATCATGTTTCAGTTGTGGAAATTGAAGAAGATCCCCGATAGTTATATTTCTATTTGATATTTGCATTTGTATTTCTAGAGCTTTGTCATATGTTGATATTTCAATTAATAAACATATTCGAAAGCGAATGGATTCATCATCGCTAACCAAATAAGAACCGACAGATTGTTGCATACTGTCTTCTGATATTACCTGGTTATTTCTGTCTTCTAGAACAAGAACATGATCACGCAGCGAATTTTCGAATTTTAATGGCTTCAATAATGTTTCATTGTTCAGTAGATCAGTAAGTGGTAAAGACTTTAAGGTCAAAATTGTTTCTCGGCTGGTATCATAGGACAAAATAACATTGATTAGAGCATTTGGACTAATGCAATCAATTATAGTAGGTGTAATCTCCATTATTGTCGAAGAAATTGTTTGGTTTTCATAAATAACAGACTTTTGATGTCTATGCCAATAAACATACTCACCAATGGAAGGATCCAATATTGGCATGTGAGTTTTCAACCATAAATTTATTTTTCGCCATTCCGTATAGGGGTAAAATAGTGCTTTTGTATCTTCAGCTGAAAGATATTAATGCCAAAGTGTTAAATTACAGTATTCAAAGTATAAGAGACTTCGATTATTTCTCAGAGAGTACATGTAAGACTAGTGAGATATCTGCACCTTTGTTTATTGGATAACAGGATAATACTACAGTTGAACTTTTATTAATTAATTAAGAAAGAAACAGAAACAATATTTTATCAATTGGCCCATGAAAATTCATGAAAATGAACACATTCTGAAAATTTTAATTCTCTTATTCTATTGCTACTATAGTATCAATCTTAAAATCCTCAAAAACAAACAGGGGCCAATATGAATATCACAGCGTGTTTTAAAACAATCTGATCGTATTTTTAAATATTATTGATAACTGTCAAAGGATATTCAGTTAATCATACGTAAAGTAATACCAATTGATTGGTCCCCAGTATATTGATGATTGGCCCTGAGCCCTGGGACATGCGCATATATCTCAAAGAAAAACAGGATAGATACATGACCTTATTTTTTAAAGAATAGTGCGATCGTCCGGGTTGCTTAATGCTTCATTTATTACTCTCTAGAAAAAATAGGTATTGTTGTATACCAGTAGAAAAAGGCTTCCTCAGGCGATATATAATGTGAACGTCAGAATCTAAACTTTGATCATATCGAATATAATATTGAACACAATATCAGTTTGGATACTAACACATATTTACCTTTTGATAATTGAATAGTGAGGTCACATAGTTCACTTGTACTGCTTGTCATTTCTTCAACAGTTACATGAAAAGGTAATGAATTATCGTTGACTTTAAGAATTTCATTCATTTTTCCGGCTTGAATAATTTTTCCAAGTTTGTCGAAAAAACAAAGATATGCATCGGGTGATGTTGATCGAATATTATTCTCGCCAATGAAATGATCAATAATATCCGCAATTTCACAATTTGGTTTGATCAAATATTTAAATGTATTATTTTTATAGTAAAAATGGATTGAAATCAACAAATCCCGTTGAATAATATCATATTGAGGTACCAATCGATGTGGTAGTCGGTTATTGTTTATAAAATCAATGAAGATTTGCTTGTTGTCCACAACAACAAAATTGTTCAAATCATATGTATTGTCGTCAAATATTTTCTTGAATTGTTCGCATATTTTTTCGCCTCTCCAAAAGAAAGCTTGCGACCTACCATCAGGGAAATTAATAGTAAATCTTCGCGCTTTGGTGAATGATTCTTCAATTTGTTCTTGTTGTTCGGGTATCTTTTTTGCAAAGGGCGATGATGTTAAAGGAACAGATTTGATCGAAATCGATGGGAATTTATCTTCATGAATATGATTACTAGGAGTGATTTTATCATCGGATATTGGTTTAGAAGATGAGTCGGAATCATTAGAAGCTAATCGTACCGGCACTGAAATTTTGACCGGATCGTAGTCACTCTTTTTTGAATCAGGTTCTGTATCACACACAGAGCTTTGCGATAGACTAGGTTTTGGTCTGCCATCGATCGGCGACGCAGAATATCGATAAGATTTTTTATCAGGGTCTGAAATTATTGTAGAATCTGGTGTGCTCACATCGTCTGGGTTACTATATCTATGCAAGCAATTTTCGTGTTGTTCTTGATTGATCTTAATACTTCCTGAGAAAAGTGTTATAAGGAACTATTTGTGGTTTTATTGAAGATGCTGATTTTTTTTCAGGTTTCATTTGTTTATTAATAAACAATTCAAAGTTCTAGATAACTTTAAGAATCATGTCAGAGAACAAATAGCTCCAACTGGGTGTGGATACGCGAAGGAGAAGCGTATCAGCTTGACATGCACTAGTAGAGTCGGACTGGTACCCAGTCGGCCAGTTGGGGCTGGAACTAGTGCATGTATAGTGTCAGCGCTTGGTTTATAGTAACGCGCCCACGTCCATACTCATATAGAAAAAAAATATTCATCGGGAAATGATGAGAGATCTCGAAAAGGAAGCGCCGAATCTCTCTTTAGAGAAGTGCGTGAGATGGGACATCTGGGAACTTGGTACGAACATCATTCGTCGTTCTTCCAGCAATACAATACTATATTGTTTGGAGTTTTAGCACCTGTAGCATCTTACGGCATTTCTTCAGCATCCCGATTTCCCGGAAATATGATTTTGACAGTACCTTGGAACATCGCTACCACGGTATTTGATGGTCTCTGGAGTTTCTCTGTCACTGTAAATTGAAGGGACTGTGTGCTTAATTTCTGTCCTATATACACTTCAACCCTCTTTTGAGATTGTGTTTCACAAATAAAACCTGTATATCAACTACAGATGATTTAACCGAAATTTGCCCACTCGTCAATCTAGTAAGCCTATTCATGATGCTTGCTGCAAGGTCAATACTGTCGATTCAGTAACATTGACTAAGTAAGAGTGTGGGTGTGGCATGGTTGTAGGTGGGACTGTACATCTTTCATTATCCTTCGTCCCCACCGACATACCCATTCCGCGTGATGCGGTAAAACCGGAAATGTAAGAGTAAATTTTGTTTCACACACATATCATGGTAAACACCTACCTTGATTGCCATCATCATCAGTTGAACCTGGATTAGAAGTATCGCGTAGGCATGCCTAGAAGAGATTAAGTGTAAAAGTTTTAGTTTACAAAAGACTTTCAACTCAGATCCTTTTTTATTCTGTTTGACGGACGATGAGCTAAGACGAGAGATTGCATGTGCGCTCGTGAACGATAAGGTTGCATAAATCGCGAAAATCAGAATCTCGAGAATTACACGTATAAACCGCAAAAAGGAAAACATCGCAAACTATACCTAGCGAAGACTGCTTCGAAATACTTACAAATAAATCTTTTTTTAAATTTATTCATTAGATGAGGGAAGATTTAAATTTTTATTGCTGTTATTTGATGTGAATGTATGTGTTCGTCTAAATGATGCAAGCAATCATATCCACGCCCACACCCACACTCGCGACGCATCTCCCGGAGGGGTGGGCGGCCAAAAATCAAAAACATTCTTTTTATTGGGAGATGCAGATGCGGGAGATGTGGCATCTCTCTGTGGAGAAGTGTGAGAGATGCGGCAGCTGTGCGTGAGATACAGTATGTGCGTGATTGATTTTTTGGAGCTAAAATATTTGTATTTGCTGGGAGTGTTACTGTTGTGTATCCCTAATCTCCCGTGGCGTCTCTAGCATGCCCGATTTATTGAATATGTGACACTGCTGCACTCCATATGCACACTCACCACCAACACCCTGAACTCACCATCACATTCATATCCTACCTTTTTTAAAGATTCACAGATTGGCTTAATTTCATGTCATCTACAAAGGATGTCCACAGGTAGTAATTTTAGCTTCACCGCTAAGAATCATTTTCCAATGTATTGAATTCGCATTTTCATACCATGGCAGATCTCAAAAGCGTCCACTCTTCTTTCATCATGAAATACTTTATTTTAGAGAATAGGAAACGCATTATTTCGGTTGACACGTTGTAAGATAAGTATGCTATATGCAGGAATTCATAGCAAATGTTCATACTTCATTTACAACGATACTTTATAGATGGAAAAATCAGAAACCATTCTTGGCAGTCCAACTATTAAGATAAGTTCAGAAAATCGATACCAAGTTTCCTTAAGCCAAAGCGACAGTCATGTATAATCATTTGACGTTCACTTTCCTGTTTAAGAAATTATCCTCCTAATTTTCACACACTATCTAGTGCTTTTATTATTTTATGTTGAAAATTCATCCTGTTGAAAGAAGAACTCAACAGGAACCCAGTCGAGTATGTACCTTTTCGTACTCACCAAGGTTTCTATAGATCTCAATCGATCAATCGTGGTAAAAGCGCATTCAACAAGAATAATCAAAATTCGAGAAGATTGTAGAATACCTCGGAAGAAAGATAGAAATTGTCTGAAAATCAATCTTACATGACAAGCACCAAGAATTACATGACCATACGTACAGCTCTTACGATCGAACTAGGAGCAGACCGTTATCGTTCATTACTATGTTTGCCATGGAAATGTGTAATGCGGCGGATAAAACATAGGAATATAATCATTATTAGAATTAGGCATCAATAAAAGATGCTTTGAGAGGAAAATTGAGATTGGTAAATAATGCATCTGATGTCACACCACGTAGCTTTATAAATAAAACACTTTTATGTGTTTCAGATGGTTCTTGACAGTGTTCACCAGCATTTGACTGAGATTATCTATTGTAAAGGGCAATTTGTTCATAACTTACGTGAATAAAACTTGCATAAAGGCAAAGTTAATCGGACAAAACATTCTTATTAGGTTATTTTATTAAAGCGTGCGCTGATATATATGTATAAGTAATTGTTTCTGGATATCATGATGATTATATAAACTGAAGGAATGCGAATTTCATCCATCAGCATCGTTTTATAATTTAATTCTCAAGTATCTCTGGCTGTTTATAATTAGTATTAAATTGTTAATTATCCCAGATACGTAAACTAAAATGAATTGTTTGGACACATGTTTTGATATATTATTAAAATGAAAAAGTAAGCTGATTGACATAAAGTTAATGTTCTGCCTGTAATCAAGAATGAATGGACTGTTTTGCTAAATAGTAATAACTACAAACAGATAATTGAGGAGCATTTAATATTGAAACATACAGGTAGAAATGTGGAGAATGCATTGGTAGTCATTATTATGAATTGCCGGTATCGTGAGTGCACCAGAAATTATTACAATAAGAGAAAGTATATTCAATTGATTTGTCATTAGCTAAATAATTTTTGCAATCCCTCATCACTTCACAAGGTTCATTCGTTTGTAAACATGTGCTCCAATACCATGGTTACAAAAGCAGTTGAAAGTGACTGTTTTTTCCTAAAAAACAATTTTCATATGCTACAAGAAATAGAGCTCAGATATGTTACACTTTGTGTAACATTTGCGAACGTCTTTTATGATAGGCATCTTTCAGTGAAGACACCTTGAATCTTCGGCCACTCCTTTACCCACTCCTCGTGCTGCTCTTTGCAGCCACAAAAGATGTAGATAGTATCCGGCGTTGACTCGTCGTGAATCCTTGGAACTAATTCCCGGCCCAAGCTACCGGAACATATGACAAACGCTTTCTTTTCAGGATTTTCCTCCAGCCACTCAATACATTGTTCCGGCTTTCTAAAACCTTTCACATTTTTAACCACTTTAAGCAATTCGGTGAGTGTATCTTGTGACTCGTTGCTTTTTTGTATCAATGGTACCGTCGGTCCAAATGACAAAATCATTTGCAACCGAAAACGTGGAGAGTTCTGTATCAATTTTCAACGGATTCCTTGTTGTGCCCTTGAAGAAGTCGAGGATAGCAGCCATGTATAATCGCTCCAATTCGCTCTATGATTGTCAACAGTAGATGGAAGAGAGAAGAACGCACAAAAAGAAATTTTATGTTTTTTCGTTGTTTTGCAACTGTGATGCTCTCTTCATTTTTTTCAGAAATACCTCAAAATGCGTTGCGTTGCCTAATGTTTCTTCTTCATTATGTATTATTTTATTGGCTCTATAGAAACAAGGGATGGGTGTGGGTGTGGATGTGGGTGCGAGTATGAATGTGTATACGGGCGGCCGGAATGACCACACCCACACACAAGAACATGCTCACGAACTTACCTTCAGTGTTATGCCTGTGGAAGGGATTCATTCTTCTGGCTCTTTACTCTTAGTAAAGTATAAGTACAATCAAGTTGAACTTTTTTGGGTGTGAGATGCAATCACTTGTGAAGGTGGCTTCTTCGGTATCTGCATCCGCTCAAGATTCTTATCTCTGCTTCGATCTGCTATAAGAGCGTGGATATGAATGCGGTCGCTGATATCGATAAACCAACCGAACAGTCACACCCACCCCTACCTTTGTTTGAGCTCACTATCATCGAAGAGAATGCGAAGACTTATTTCTTTTTTCCTTCCCAATATGCACCATATTTGTTCGTAATCCACGAAATATGTTTTCCAGACAGTTGCTTCCCAGTGACATTTGCTCCCCGGGCACTTGCTCCCCAGAAGCATTTGCTGAGGGTGTGAGTGTGGGTGTTTCGATGTGGATGCGATCTTCTTGTCACCCACACCCATACTCATACATTGTACCTCTTTCCTTCATGACCTCACGCTTCATTTTCTGAGAGATGAGTACAAATGGAAATACCCAGTGAAGAATTTGGGTGAGGGTGTCGGTGTGGGTGACATAAGAAAATATACCAACACCCACGCCCACACCCTCTAAAGCAGTTTTTTTTAGAGCGGGTCCAACTCTATCATCGTTCAAAAGTTCATGAGATGTTAATACTGATTTTATTGAAATAGATTTTCTCAAATAAGAAGGTCTCAGATCGAAAAACAAAGCCCTTAATTATGACACTACTATTTTTGTCCATAATTACGCCAAATGCAACGAAACCCCTATATTGTTGAGAAAAGGACAGATATATCCTTACATATGAATAGCACGATGGTTTCTGAACACTTTTCATAACACAGTTCCATAGTTGAGGGAAAATGAATTTTTTCGTGTCTGTGGTCCCGTCAGGATTTCGAAAAAATGTTTTTTTTCCTATATTCCATTCGTTTTCTCTATACATCAACAGAGAAAAGTGTGCTGATTTCGAATATGATGTCTTTTTTTCGTATTAATGGAAAAATAACGGAGATTCCAGAGCGTTTATGTATGGCTAAAAAAATCATTTTTTCTTGGAAACCGACACGGAATTCGCCTAAAACCGTCGCAAAATACGTTCACGCGACGCAGAGTTTTTTCTCCGCTAGATTGCATAATAGAGTCTCTAATACAAAAACAATTAAAACTTTTTTCTACTGGGATACCGACCCCAATGGTGATCCAGTCAAAAAATAGTGCATTTTTCATACCCATATATAAACTCCACCGATTACAGTCAATCATGAATATTTTTATACCGATTATGTAACTCAATAAGGTCTTTCTACTGAGAGTCATTTCAATGTGAAACTTTAGGACGCAGTTGCCGTGAGAGGACGGATCTATTTGGATCCTTATCAGAGCTGAGCACAGGACAAGCTTTTCTGCCCTGTCCTGATACCCTGGTCCGTCCTGGCGGGCGGCAGGGCAGGACAAAAAATCTAAATTCGTCGTGCCCTGATTTGTCCTGGCGGGCGACAGGACAGGACACCAGGACCGTCCTGTTTTGTATTCATCGTGGATGTGATAACAGCAATATTTGTCATTTTTACTGTCAGTAATCCAAGCCTAGGTTAATTAATTGTCTAAATTGTAGCCAGTATATTTCATATAATTTCAAATACAAAAACTGAATTTTTTAGTAAACAATAACATCTTAAATACAAAAAAAGAGGAAACAATCTTGAGTTATTATTTTTATGACACTCTCATTACTGGAAATAAAATTTAAAAATAATCTAGGATTCTAGCAGTAGTATCTTCACATATAAAGAATGATACTATAAAAGGAGAACATGAAAAAGTACTTGATATAATAGTATGATACAAATCAGAACACATACTGAGTAAAATATTCACAAAAAATATATATACCCGTATCAGAGCTGAGCACAGGACAAGTTTTTCTGCCCTGTCCTGCCCTGTCCTGATACTCTGGTCCGTCCTGGCGGGCCGCAGGGCAGGACAAAAAATTTAAACTCGTCCTGCCCTGATTTGTTCTGTTACGCTGGTCTGTCCTGGCGGGCGGCAGGACAGCAGGGCAGTCCTGTCCTATGCTCACCTCTGATCCTTATGTATATGGAATAATACAAAAAGGAGCCAACCAAAGTTCCCTCATTCGAAAGCTCTCGCTCAGTTACGTATTTGGTACAAAAATGAGTGTTCTGGGCTGTATTATATGCAGTTTCTGTGGGTTCAAAAATTTGAGTAGTTTTGACTGGATCACCATTGGAATCGATATCCCAGTAGGAAAATTAAAAAATTGTTTTTGTATAAGAAACTATTATATATTCTAGTAGAGAAAATAATTTTGCGTCGAATGAACGTATTTAGTAAAGGTTTTCGACGAATCCCGTGGTCGGTTTCTACGAAGAGCTGATTTTCAGTCATATATAAATGCCCTGGATCTCTGTTATCTTCGATGTGACACTAAAAAGACACATCATATTCATGATCCGCACACTTTTATCTATTGATGTATCGAGAAAGCCAATAGAATAAAGAAAAAACATTTTTTTGGAAAACCTGAGGGACCACAAACACGAAAAATTCGTTTTTTGTGAGATATTAAACTATGGCATGAAAAATCTTTAGAATTCATTGAACTTTTCATATTTAAGGATATATTTATCTTTTTCTCAATACTATAGGGGTTTTGTTGCATTTGTCGTAATTAGGGATACTGACTCTATACATCAGTTTTTCATAGTTTTTGGGAAGTGCAATATTAAGGAAACCTTAAATGCACCATATTTACCTCCATGATATACCATAATTTAGAGTTCTTGACAAGTTCTATCTAATCCAAAAGAGCAATATTAGTTCTATGGGAAATAAACAAATATCATACAGACAAAGTGTCAGTATACGTGAGTTTTTCATATTTTTTGGGTACCGAGGTATTGAGAAAATTTTAAACGCAGCATATTTACCCCTACAATTTAGCATAATTTTGTAGTCCATAAAATTCTCTATCGGATGGTATATAAAAGCTCAGTTTTCATTTTGACTATGACAAAAGTTTTGCTTTGCGAAACTTGAAGTAAGTCAACATTTGCATAGAAAATAATGATATTTCTTGCTGTAACTCAGTAAATCCTTGACGAATTATTCTCATCTTCGAAGTCAACCGAAATATTGATGAGATAATACTTTGTACAAAATTTCATGACAATCGGATCAGACTTTCAGGAGTTATCGTGTAAACGACCGAACACACTGGTCGATCCTATAGTGTACTCACTTTTTGAGTACACAATACACAAAAATGAGCCATTTTTTTACAACGAATGAGAACTAATTATTTTGCTATCTTTGTTTCTTGCATGGAAATTAAGAAACCCGATATGATAATGATAATACTAATAACCGAGGAGACTGTGATATTCTTTTTTAACTATCGAAAATATATTTTATTCGATTGCTAGATCAAACATACAATATATCAAAGATATAATGGGAACAGTGTTTCCGGGTAGACCGAGTCCTCCTGTTTCACCAAGTGATGATATTCAGACAAATGCTGACAATAAATATCCTGAATCACTCCGCCTTATTTTACTTGATGACAGTGAGGATAATGAAGGACATCGAAATACAGAAGAAGAATTACGTTCTATTATTAACCATCTGGAAAAATTTCAAGATATTAATAAATGTCAACAATATATTGAAAACGAATCACAAAAATATCGATTCGTACTCATTGTTAGTGGTCGATTAGGAAAAGAAATAGTACCTTCTATTGATAAAATTAGGCAAGTTCGATCAATATATGTGTTTTGTATGAATCAGGCATATCATAAAGAGTGGACTTGGAGATTTAAGAAGGTAAAATTATGATAAAAGATTTCGATATTATTTTGCCATTGTTTCAGGTGAAAGCTGTTGTTGTTGAACTTGATGAACTTGTCTCTAGAATCAAATCAGACCATAAAATCCAGATAAAAGTGAAAGATCCATTATCAATCAATATTTGGACAGCAAGTGCAGGCAAATCAACAACGGGAGTCAATGGTAAATTTATTTTCTCTCAAGTTCTTATTGATTGTCTTCTACAACTAAAATCTACTGGGACAGACAAAAATGAACTTATTGATTATTGTAAAAGTCAATATGAAGGTAATGATTCTGAGTTAAACAATCTTCGTGAATTTGAACAAGATTATTCACCAAACGAAGTCTTATGGTGGTACACAAAAGAATCATTCTTTTATAAGACACTTAATGCAGCTCTACGTACTGAAGCTATTCATATGATTTTTCTATTTCGTGCATTTATTTCTGATATTCGTGATCAATTGAAAGAATATCAAGTTAAGAATTCTCTAAAAGTTTATCGAAGTCAAAAGATGTCAAGTGATGAACTTACAATTCTACAACAAAGTATTGACCAATTTATTTCTGTAAATTCATTTTTTTCCACTAGTACTGATTATCAGAAAGCTGTTTCATTTCTTGATGATGCTGACAAATCATCCAATTTAGAGAGAGTATTATTTGAAATTGATGCTGATCCTGCGGTGGTAACTGCAAAACCATTTGCTGATGTCAGTCCATTTAGTGACTATCCTGATGAGTCAGAAGTTCTTTTTATGCTTGGTTCTATTTTTCGTCTTGAAAGTATTAATCGTAACAATGATCAAATATGGATCATTCGAATGACTTTATGTCGTGATGATGAACATCATTTAAAACACTTTTTTGATTCTAAGAAACAAGAAATTGGAAGTGGAGAAACAAATCTGCAAACCTTAGGAAAATTATTATGGAAAATGGGTAAAAATGATTTAGCTAAGAAATATTTTTGTCGTTTATTGGAAGAACTTCCGCCAAATGATCCTTCACTTCGCAGTTTATATGACAATCTTGCCGATCTTGCATCACAGGCAGGTAATTTTGAAGAAAGTCTTGTATGGCATTCAAAATCGCTTGCATTCTACCGGGATAATCCTATTGGTAAGTTTATTGAAAGCCAATTTACTATTTTTGAACTAATATTCAATATGAACATGAACATTTTACTATTGCACAAAAAAAACATGTTTTAAAAACTCAAAATGACGAAACTCATTAGATGACGTAATCAATCACATCTAGAAATGTTGTGTTATGCTTATTAAGGTGTTGTTTACAATTAGAATTAAATCGATAGAATAAATGTTAATTACGACTAGTGGTGCAACAAATCTTGAATGGATTTGGATTTGGGTTTCGAAGGTTAAGGTTGCATATGGTTTGGATTTGAATCTGTTCTCCTATAACTTAAATCTGAATGGATTTGGTAAGATACGGTCTCATCAATAAGAATCTACTGTACTAGGTTACGGTACAACCATAAAAAAATTTTCGCATCTAAGACCAAATTTAAGTGAAATGCAAAGGATTTGGGCCAAAATGCGAAAGTCTTTTCTTTGGTTGCACCTCGCGCCTAGTTAAGCCGATTGCGATTGGTGGCACTGTATTTTATCAAATCTATTAGGATTTGGGTCATACGATAACATGCCCAAATTAAAACCATTTCACATCAGCTTATAAGCCTCGTGATTCTTTTCTCCCCTCTTGGACTTCATCTTACGAAGTATCATCATATTTTGGTAATTTAAGACGGATGTGAGTGTGGGCGTGGGTGTTCTTGATAGTCACTTTTCAAGGCAACCGACAAATATTCTCCGCGTATCAGCAACCACACCCACACCCACACACCCACACCCTTTCGCAGGAAAATGGTTCTTCCCGTGGGCCCAGGGGAAAAACCTTTAAAAGTTTCGTAGAACTGAAATATCGTTTTTTGAGCATTTGAATGTATTTGCAAGCTTTTCCAAATCTACGGAAGCTTTTTCGGGGGTTCGGGAAAGAGCCTATTTTTTTTAGAGTGCATGTCTTTCGTAGAACTAGAATTTAACCGTCTCTTCTTTCAAGCAGCTCTCTTAATCAGTCTGAATGAAAGGACTATCTAAATACTTGTTCAGTCTCATTGTGTCCGGCAATTGAGAATAGCACCATCCAGTTGTGCAGAATTCTCTTTATTTTATGCGAGTTACCATCGACACCGAATAAGGCGAGCGAGCACATATGGGAACATATCTGTTTCCATACCGTTGTAGAACTTCTCCAGTGATTTTGAAGTTCTTCAATTATGAAAAAATTAAATTATAAGGTGCCTGAAATTGAAAATTTCAGCAGATTTTTTTCCGAATGAGTTATGTATGTTTCGATAGAGCTCGTCAAACTGTCTAAGAAAATACATTAAAAAGAAGACAAAATACTTAATTTCTAGTTATACGAATATTCCGTCCCTCAACAAATTGTGTTTAATTTTTCGTTTTATTCCTTCTATAGATTTTATGACCATAATTTTCGAAATCAGCATGAAAATTGAGTATCCAGCACTAATTTTTAACTCATTCAAATATAATGTTTTTCATTTTTCTCCTGTATTTCAAACGACAATGCTTAGAGGTCGCCGCTAGTATACCGTATTTATGTATCTAATTTTTTTCCACAAGATAAAGTGGCGATTCCTATATACCATTCGAAGCAGCTTTGAAAGAGCTACAAATATATACATTAATATTTATTTTTACTTTTCTTAAGCTGAAAAAAAAATCATTTTTTTGTACTACTCATTATCAAGATAATTTATTTTTTCTTTTACATTAAATTATTCGTTCAAATCTCGTTCATAAAAGCACATTTCGATGCTTCTTTTGTTCTTTCCATGCAATCTACAATTTATGTGCCTTAACTGGACCTTCTGGAAACCTTTTCATTTAATAAATTTTATTAATGGGTTGCGATTTCCGGACATTCATTTGTATAGAACCTATAATAATTGGGAGTGATTGCATCTATAGTTGAGTAGTGTACTTAGAGGTGTTGCTCTGTGTTCATGAAATGTCTTTTCATTTATTGAAATTTCGATGTTGAATAAGGAAACAAAAAAAAGAACAACATCAGATAACTACTTAATTTGTATGAGTGTGAATATTGGTATTCGAAATTCTTGTATGTGGCATAATTTGTTCTATGCAAGAGCTACTAAAGAATAGCTTTAATGCATCAACGTATGACTTTCCTTGCCGGTATGCTTCACAAGCATACCAAAAACGACGAAAGAGTTTCTTGTATAGTTTAATTTCGATGAAGTGTTTTCTTGATTGTTCAATTAATAATAGGTCATTTACTAGTTTAAATGCTGGGTGTGGAATAAGCAATTCACGAAGTTGTGACAATGAACATTTCTTTAGTATTGCAACACGTAATTCTTTTGCTAATAATAATAGTCCTTTGCTTTTATTCCTATTTACATCTGATCAAAAATACTAGTCAATTGTCTGCTTCACTTCATTATCACCGTAATATTCAATAACTTCCACAGGATATCTACTACCTACATTTTTTCGAAAATTATTTATAGTGTAGTTGCACGTGATATGCGTTCTCTCATTATCCACTAAAATGTCGCCGTAATGACCTTGATATTCCGTTTTAAACTGCAACATTTCGAATAAATGTTGAAATTGACATAATATTGTTTCATTATCAAAATTTGGAATTCCTACCAACATTGATTGCTGCTGTTGCTGTTCGATCCATATAATTAATGCAATCGTTTTGTAACAAATCTGGTTATTTGGTAGTCACTTTTTTTACCATTCTTCACCATTTAAGCAAAACAATCGTCCAGAAGGATGGCATACGATGAAGTCTGAAACCATAAAAGAAGAATCGCGTCCTTTAGAGAAAAAAGACTTAATTTCATCTGATATCCATATTTTAGCCGACACCTTACCAGATCAAAATGTTGTTTCATCATGACCTTCACAGAAACAGGAAAGAAAACAGTTGCAATAGGATCAAGGTAAGCCTTTTCACATACATATCAACAACTTTGGGTTTTGAGTTTGAATATAGCAATTGGAAGGATCATCGGAACCGACCAAATAGTATTATTGCTTTTTGGATAAAAATGTTTGAAAAATTGGTCACGATAAGCCAATACATCAGGTCGATCACGTCCTCTATCATAGGGCCTTTTGTATTCAAATTAAACCTACACTCCCATCGTCTCATATTCAAACGGCACATTTTTTTTCTGATCTAATTAATTCATTTCGACACTTCTTTGCGTTGGTTAATTCATAGTATGATGCATCAACGTAATGAGCAAGATCAATTGCATTAGAATTTCCTTACCTTTGAGCGCCACCATCAACTACGAACAATTTTGCATTGATTCCGATTTCTGGATACGTATCGAAAAATGCATCACTTCGCTTCCCTCCACATTCGTCTTTCATGAGCATATCAAAATCACCATTGATAAAGATCTTGGCCCATTTATTAGCAGTAATACATCGCATAGCACCCATGTTAGACATAAATTTATCAATATCACGCCAAATGAAATCAAAATATTTAAAAATCATGTAAACCAATGTACTTAATGTTTTAAAATTGCACTTACTAACGCACAGTTCGAAAATATCTCCAATATTTTCCTTTGAATTCATTTTAAAACTTCATCCTTATTATGATGAGATATGGCAATATTTTTCATAGACCAATGGAACTTTGCAGTCTTGGTCAACCTGGCCGAATGTTTGCTTCTTTTCGGCATCAGAAACACGCTGAATGAATGGACCCAATACAGCACAATAAAACTAAATAGGCTGGAACAATTAACTTGTAATTTGCTTTACTGAAAGCGCAACTTACGAATAAAACATATTAAATGAAAAGGGTTTCAAAAGGTTAAGATAAGGCAGATAAATTGTAGATTGCATTAAAAGAACAAAAGAAACAACGATATGTGCGTTTATGAACGAGATTTGAACGATTCATTTGATGTATAAGAAAAAACAAAAATCTTTCTCAATAATGAGTAATACAAAAAAATGTTTGTTTCTCAGCTTAAGAAACGTATAAAAAAATGTTAAAGCATAGATTTGTAGCTCTTTCAAAGCTGCTTCGAATGGAATATAGGACTTGCCATTTTATCTTGTGATTAAAAACTAGTGACATAAATACGGTATACTAGCGACATGTAAGCAGGAGTCGTTTGAAAATACAGGAGAAAATGAATAACATTATATTTGAATGAGTTAAAAATTAGTGTCGGATACTCAATTTTTTATGTTGATTTCTAAAAGTATGTTCATAAAATATATAAAACGAATAAATCAAAACACTAAACACAATTTGTCGAGGGACGGAGTTTGGGTGTGGGTTAGGCGCAGGTGCAAATATGGATAAGATTCCTTAATACACAACTCACACCCACACCTTCAAGAAAAATCAATTAACCTTTCTCATATTAAAACGACTGCTTTATTGTGCCTATTCTCGATAATACATATCATGTGCATTTCTAACAATATGAAAAATCTCAACTTTCCTTCCAGAAAATAAAACGAAAGTGAGTGTCACCTCTACTTAAGGTCCCCATCTAAAAGAAAATTGACCCCTAAGCATCTGATTTCGTTGAAATTTTCAGGAAAGATGTATTTCCAGTGTGGTATATTGCAGTAAAAATTACAGGTCGATGCATTGAGTGTACAAGAGTTAGCTTACAATTATCGGTGAAAATCAAGGTTTCCATACGTCCCAGATTTCTCAGCCATTTCTAATTTTAGGAAGTTTATATTAGTTTTTAAATGTAGCCAAGAGGTAGCTGTACAACGTAACAGGGTCCTATTTTTCAATCGCCTCGTACTTTGAATTTTAAAACCAACCTGAACTTTCTAACGTTTGAAATGACTGAGAAATCTGGGACGCACAAAACATAAAAATCAAAAGTCCTCTTTTGAGAAAAACACAAAATAAAGAGTTTTTGCTTTTTAAATTGAACTAAAAAGATTACAGAGATAATTTCCAACATATCAACGATTAGGATACATCAGATGAAAGCGTATAAAGATTTACAATAGAGTTTGTTTCGTTGTTTCGTGAATCTATTACGTCTATGAAAATATCAATAAAAATCATCTGTTTGAACAGTATTTATAATATCATCTAAATTGATATGTATCACATAGAAGTAATATGTTCATATTATCTTAAACACTTCAAGATGCGTTATAACCATCATGGTTGATAATTTTATGAAACAAAATTTATGTTTAAACATCGATCCATGTATAGTAGTTTCATTCAATTCTGGACTTTCTAAAGTGTTTTATTCACCTGTTACACTTGGCTCTATACGATATTAAGGCCGATCATTATAAAAGGTCAAAGGAAAAGCTTCCAAATTAATTTTTTTAGAAACAAACCTTCTTTTTTTCTTTATGTGGTTTCTGAAAAACCTATGTAGTTTCCTTAAATTTTATCATACAACCAAAAACTTATCGTGCAATCGAGAGTAAACACTCAGTTCTATTTAACTATCTAAAAATCACAAAATTGACAAGTTCGCCAAAAGTTAATTTTATTAGACGGGGGTGGCTTAATAGAGTTCATGTGGATTTCTCTAGTCTACATGGACGGATTTGGATATGATTTTTGTAATCAAAAGTTACATTTCGTGTTGCAACGAAAGCTACACAATGTGCTATATCATAGAGATTGATAACATATTGTTTCTCTTCCGGCTTCCCAAAGTTAAAGAAACTTTGTGACACACCTGAGAAAAGGATTGTTCCTAAATTAGTGGATTTTGAAATTTTAGCTAATCCATCAATGTTAAATGAAAATGAGATATTTATCAGTGGCTTACCGTCTGATATGGAGAAGCAACGATTATTCGATACCCTACGAGATATGTTTTCCACTGTTGGTTCAATTAAAGTAGGAAAAAAGAAAATTTTCTTAAAAGACTGAAAAGTTCTCTTATTTCCTTGCTAGAGTGATCCATTAACAGAGAAACCATGCATCTATCTATTTCGAAGCAAAGATGATACCACTCAACTCACTGGTGAAGCAACGGTTACATTTGAAAAGAAGGAAATTGCTGAGAAAGCATTCGAAAATTACAATGGTAAATTCTAATAAACTTGGACGATCAATAGCACACCAGATTTCATCTGTACATTTCAGGACAATGTGTAGCGAACTTGAATAATGCTGAAATTCATGTAAAGTTGGCAGAAACGAAATGCCAGGAACCAAACAGTAAGTACCCCTATGAAGGAAACATTTATTGTTCAAAAGGCTCGTAGTTACTTCTAAATAAAAAAATCATGGTCCCAACCATTCTGATTATGAATACGCGTGCAGTTATTTCTGTATCAGCAGCCATTGTTGATTGCCTCGCATCCACACCTATCCAGACAACAGCGTTTGTGCGAACTGACTTATGCATTCATTCACACAAACGGTTGCATTCAAATCGGAATCACAACCATAAATACAACCATGCTCTGACAGTTTGTTTTCCGCACAAACTTTGTTGTAACAAAATAGAAACTATTTTTAATGTTTCATACGAACCGAAGAGACGTTCAAAATGGTTGTCATAGCTGTAGGAACTTTCTTTTATTAACATTTTGAAAGTCTTACACTCTAAAAAAATGATTATATGATCGACTCATAAAAAGTTCCGTAGCAGTTACGGAACCGAAAATGGCTCTTTTTCTGGACACATTTTCGGAACATTTGCCACGAAACCTTTTCAAGATTGATCGTACCGAAAACGTTGGGTGTGGAAAATACAAGACCATCCAGATTCGAGACGAAAACGTTAATGTTTCGCGTCAAGCAACCAAGGATTCATCTCGAACCTGAATGGTTTCATATTTTTCATAGCGAACTTTTTCGGTCCGATCAATCTTTAAAAGGTGTGGATGTGGGTGTATTCTTTTATATGCTCACACCCCACATCTTCAACTTTCGAGTTTGTTGCATGCCCAATGAAAGACGTAACAAAATCACTCATTTCGGAGCTTTGATAAAATGCATTACTCCATCCGACTTCTGCAGGCAAAGAACTCGAGCCACAGGCATCTGGCATTGGTCATGTCGGCGATACAAAAAAAAACATAACAAATAAAATATTCATCTGTGGCTTGCCCCGTAATATGTCCGAGGAGCAACTGCTGCGTCAAGTTTCCCGTGTATTTTCTACAGTTGGCCGAATACAAGTAAGGAAAAAAGGAAGTTGTGTAAAATTAGCATTAGCTTATATTATTTTTTTTTTAGGTGAAAAATCGAACAGGGGAACCAGATATAGTTTTATTTAAAGCAAAATTCAATAATAATCAGTTGACTGGTACGGCAACAATTACATACGAAAAAGAGGAAGCAGCCATGGAAGCAATTACGAAGTATAATGGTAAGCCCGAATTAATCTGAGTTCATGAACATAATATAATTATCGTGTATGTCTTAGAAAAATGTACGCCAGCGTTAAGTAATGCTCGCCTTTCAGTGAAGACGTGGGAAATGAAAACTACTCATGTAACACCAGGATTGGAACCTGGGCCGCTACCAGCAGAGCCAACACTGCCAGACTCTAGTGAGTATTTGTAACAGAAACATATATATTATTCATAGTGCTCGGGCTTGCATGAAAGTCGGAAGTCTCATGTACAATGATTGTTTGGAACTAATTTGATTGACATCCCGCAAATTATTATGAGATTTTAGAAATATGTATTATTTGTAACCCTATAGTGAAAATTCCATAGGTCTAGGATCTACCTTATGCCACTCATGTCAGTTTCAAGAGAGCTCATAGGAGCCTGAGAGAGCAGCTGTTCCGTCGTCATCACTTAAGTATTTCACTTGTTGATGCAGTGCATTTTTTCACGGAATTATTTTTAGCCAGGAGAATTATGTTTTCGCTGAAAGTTGTTTTATTAGTAATAAAATAATTTTTCCACTGTAAACTAATTTTTTCATTAAAAAAATAATTTTTTTGTGAAAAATTGGTTTCTATTCCAAAAAACAACTTTTGGAAAAAGAAATTTCATAATACGAACTTCTATGAATAAATCATTTGTGTGCAACAATGTAACTCAACTTGATAGCTTCCAACAAATTCATAAAAGCACATGTGGTTTAGTCCTACTAGCATTTCATAACTAATTACTTTAGTATTTATGCACTTATCATGCTGTGAGGGACACAAAGCCAGACGACTATACGCTAGAGAAATCATTGAAAGTTCGTGTAGACGCAGTATATCGCGAACTGCGACGCATATTTGAGGGAAAATTCATGCATACCTAGTGAGTTCCATGAGATTGAAAGAGTTCAAAAACAAATTACCAACTGTAAGTCATATTTTTACCTAGAAAAGTAGCGAAGTTCTTTTATTTTTAAGAGCTTTGATAAGTTTTGCTGATCGTGATGAATAGGGGTATGGCAGTTCTCAGATCTAAGTTCAGATCAAATGAGCGAAAGAACTGTTCGAACAGATCCCATAAGAGATGCCTATACCGATACAGACATCATCCCAGTGTAGATCCTAACAGTTCTTAGATCTGATCTGATCAGCTCGAACAGTTCTTTTGATCTGATCTGATCTGTTCAAACAGTTCAGATCAGATCCTGTGTACTGTCTGAACAGTTCTTTTGAATAGAACTAAAACTGAACTGTCATACCCCTAGTGATGGCAGAGAGCGTATAGAAAAGTATCCTCACCATTTTCTAATGAGTTTCAATTTAGCGTGTGCAGTGAATGCTCCTTTTTCTAAGAAAGATGGCTGCAAAAAGTAAAGTGGCCAAAAAACGAGAAAATACTTCGTTCTTGAGTCGAACCTCTTCTTGCATATGGACGAGCGAATGAAACTTTTAAAAGAAGTTCTAATATGTAAAACTTGAAACTGGAATTCAAGTGAATATTGAAAGTTGGAGTTGTAGTGTTTCAACCACAGAAATATACACGAAACCTCTCTCGACATAGATACCGCTATAAGAAACACGTGTTACATCTTGCTCGATATTACTGCTTTGGAATAACTCACAACATATTGCTGGCGATATGTGAGTTCTTCCATGTTTTTAGCTTGAAAATTGTAAATTCAAGTGAATTCAAGTTTCAGGCTTGGTACCACTGCGTTATCCATGGAGGTGTTTCCGCTTCGAATCAGTTTGCATTTAGGGAGCAGAAAGATATTGATATATGTTTAATTGTTTTTAGAATCTTATCAGAATCGCCCATGTTAGGATCTTTTTAAATATTCTTACGGATAATCTAAAGAATCATTTGATTAGAAAGTTTCACCACACAGATTTGACTCATTTTCGAGAATAGCAGAGTTGTTTGTCCCAGGATCTTTTACAATTAAAAAAAATACACGATAGGAGGTATATCGTCAGAGTTTAAATAACCTAAGGCCATAGCAAATTATATCACAAAAACCTTTCATTGAAAATCATCAATTCTATTTTTGAGAAAATCGTTCGATTCGTGAACCGATTGACACAAAAACCCTGAAATAAGTTCGAATCGCATTGAATACTTTTGTAGAATTCATAGTCGATCTCTGTCAATACTTGGATCGACTAATTTGTGCCTTCTCTTACAGGACCTGACAATCAACCCACCGGGCCAGTAAGTGTATTTTGGGACATCGAGAATGTGCCCATTCCTGCTGGAGAAAAGGCCTTTGATATTGTCATGAAGTTACGGAAACGGCTAATTGAAGACCGAAAGCTAGAGGGGAGTGGCTTCAGAGCTTACTGCAACACCAGCTGTCTATCACTACAGCATCAAATAGACCTTCAACATTCCAATGTGGATATTATACATATACTAAATATAAAGAGGGGAGAAGCAGACGAACGCATTAAGAAGGATCTGCAACAATTCAAAGAAAAACAAGAGAGCCCAGCTACAATAGTGCTTTTAACTGGAGACATCGACTTCATTAACCATGTAAACGCGCTTCGTTTCTCCTCTCCACATTATATCATTCTCATCTACAATCCACTAGCGAACGAGAAGCTCTTGAAGACAGCTAACGAAGCTTATCCTTTTCATATATTCGTCGAGAGATGTCGTAAAGCGATCAATAACGCAAGAGTTAGGGAAGCTTCACCTGCTAAGTTCAAGAAAGAAAACAAAAATGCAAAGAGGTATGTTTAAAAAAATGCTGTTTACAAAGTTTTTATGTCTAGTAAAACTGAATACGTACTACTTAAGTCATTAATAAATCATGTTAGTACAGGTCTATGGGACTGAAATATAGAACTTGCATATGCTGCCTAATAGGGGTGTCAATTTACAGTTTATTTAATTAAAATTTAAATTGGAGGAAATTTAATTTGAATTTAACATAAATTTAAATTTTTCTGATATGAAAAGGAGGGAGGCGAATAAGGCCATTTTCTCGCCCCCAATATTTTTGCATAAAAGTCGTATATTCGGAATCAGCATAAAATTCTGATCAAGATGAGGTATTTTTATTTTCTGGAAAATGACTTTTTTTGTTGGCATTTTTTGCCTCTACGACCCCTCAAGAATGTTGAAAAGTTTTTTCGACAAATTCTTGTGAAAACTACACCATTCGATTCAGAATTTTATGCTGATTCCGAATATACGACTTTTATGCAAAAATATTGGGGGCGAGAAAGTGGCCTTATTCGCCTCCCTCCTTTAATTTAAATAAAATTTAACTTATGAAAATTTTAAGTTAAATTAAATTTTAATTTTAAATTAAAATTTACTAAATTGTTTAGATGTATCAAGAGATAGAATGTTGTTCTTTAATACATGATGTAGCTAAGCCCTCATACTATCTGTATAACCATTTGAATCAAACCTACACCTAATAATATGAAAGAAAACTACAGAAAAAAATATTTGAAAAAAAAATATTCAAAAATCAATTTCACTTACACTTTTGTCCTAGACTGTACCTTTAGCGACATGGTGAGATTCAAGGTGAAATTGTAGGATCTCGAAATAAAGATTATTTTTGATGAAAGTGAAAATTTTCGTCGAAGGCAGGTCAGACACTCTTTAAGAGACTGAAATGTAGGTTTAATTCGATCGTGACCCCTAATAGGAGCTGCATGCTAAAGTTCATTTCAGGAAATGTCGACCGAAACTAGAATAATTGAGATGCTCTACAATATAGAAGCCATTAACAATATTATAAACAAATATTTGTATCGGAGAGAGAAAACGAACCGAACTGAAACGGTTCGGTTCGGTTAGAATCGATCCGAACCGAATCCGAATCATTTCTTGATAATTAATGTCGAAATGAATCGAACGAGAACTAATTTTAGAAAAACTAGTGACTTTATACAAACGTAGAAGTGATTGATTAAACGATCGTTTTTTTAATTGTGTTGCTGCGCACAATGATAAAACGGCGTGGGATCATTTTTTCACACGCCTAGTTTTATATCCGTGTAAAGCTGTCTTCTCGTAACACAATGACACTAATTCTGTTCATAAGGATCAATCATTTATAAGCGGTTTAATTCTCTAATTCATATTTTTTCTTCGTTATTATTTTCTTCAAAGAACAAACACATGCTGATCTAATTAACAACACACTATCACTCGTGAAGTAGTTAACCTGTTGCTATTTTCTCTTTAATCATATCCCGTAGTTATCATATATTAATATGCTAATAAGTTGTTCAATTCTGCGATTCATTTTAATATGTCGTCAATTGACTACTAGATTTGTCATTTCTACATTGAAATTTCATCAGCACAATCTCTTTCACAGTTTCATTATAAGATCATATTTCGAATTCCGTTCAATTATTATTAAAAATAATAAAGTTGCTCCAAGTCATGTCAAACATGTTTAATCAGCATGCTGAAAGGCAATGAGTAGGGCTTTCTTATCCCAAAACTACATGATAAAGAGGAATTTACTGTGTTTCCTGGTTTTGTATAACACCTAAAATGAGAGCTAGAAAATGAACCGAACCGAACTCGAACCAGAAAAAGTCGGTTCGATTCGCTCTCTGATTTGTATCTGCGTGAATTTAGAAACAATTCTCAAAGTAGAAAAGAGGTAGCGGTAAAAAAATGAATACGATAGTGAATTCAGACTAGGGTCTTGCGAATCCTGCGGACTAGCACTGCTCGTTTAATAGTGGAATCCATGAAGAGAAATTCAAATTTTTATTTACTTCAGTACTGATACTTAGCACCAATGTACGCGAATATCGTTGCTATTTGTTTATTTCTCTTTTCCCACTATGACTATTCAAGTAAATATTATTTGATGAAATGTTTTCTTGAATTTTTTATTTTTATCTGTACTTCCTAGGTGACAATTTCAGCTCTCCTAATCATGAACTGTTCCGCGAATCAGCTTTCTAGAGAATTTTACGATTTTTTGCAACTCTAGGATGCCAGATGCATACTCAGACGCCCAAGTAGCATCCTTATGAATACCAGTAGTATCCTCAAGAACGCGAATAGCATATTCAGAAATACTAGAGGAATGTGAGTAGCAATCCCAGGAATACTGCTAGCATCCTCAGACGTACTCCCTGTATCTGCAGACGTGACGTATGAGTGAGAGAAAAAATACTTATATGACTCATCTAGTTCATCAATATTCATATGCCGGCCACATCCAGATCCAGACGCTTATCTACGTACAAATGTACTTACTACTGCTACTGAGTACACGTGAACGTGAGCCAACTTTACTTAATTAAAAGTTTCAGGCACAACTTTTAATCAAAATGAATTCCTCTTTGTACGTGCCCAATCTCTGATCGGGGACAATTTTGTACAAGAACGTGCGACATATAATTTGATTAGCATGTATTAGTGCCTGCAGATATTTTATGTCATAGACTTTCAGAAACGAACAAGTAAGACTTCATTTTGTAAGAAAAGGTTCCAGATCCACAGTAAAACATCCATAAAGAGGGTTCAGAAAAAAGTAGCTATTCAAAGGAATCTGTCAACCTAATTTCTTTTTAGAGAGGACAAGCAAGCTATTGCTCTGACGGACACAAGAGATATTGGAAAGAATCAAAATACGGTTGTCGAAACTCAGGATCTCTTTAGGTGCTCCAGGTGCACCAAGACGTTTCCCACCAATGCTAGCAGAGCTCAGCACGAGAAAGACAAGCATAGTGTCGGTCTACTGGCTGAAGTTCCTTCGACGGTGACAAATGATTTCGACCCGATGCAGCCAAGTTTATTGGATACAAGAGACGAAGTAATCAACCGCATAAACCTTCCCGATGATGATAACAACCTTAACCAGGCTTCTGCTAATTTAAATGATACTTTAGTAGCAAGCCAGATGAATGACAGTCCTGAGTCTCAAGCGAATTTCTCAGGCAATGACAAGCCAATAATTAATTCGAAAGAAAAAAAGCTGTTAGCGCAATCCCCCTGAGATTAAAAATCTGAAACACGATGAAGTTGCTCTCAACATTCATGCAGACCTTGTTTTTATACATGAACCTCGATACCCATTGACTCATCATATTTTATCTAAGTACTAAAGGTGCCATAAAAATATCTAATGTATTGTCATAAAATATTAGTGAGATATACTCACTAACTCTATATAAAAAATCGACCACATTGAATGTCGCGTCCGGAACCTGCCTTTCACAGTCTGTGACTCCCGGGAACTTTGTCTTTCACGGTCTGCGATGCCTTTAGAAGCCGTCTGACACCGGCTAGGATGGGTCTTCAGCGATTTTCTAGGGACATATTAATTATTAATTAATTAAGTACACTATTATTTCATTAATAAGTAAATTCATCTGTCACGGTTTGTGAGGGGGGGCAAATTTCTACCCTGTATACTTCAATATTCTCTTTAGGTCGTGTTTCACAAAAAATAAACGAAGGGGGCGCATAAAGACGCGAATCGGTCCATTTTAGTTTTGCCTTTGAAGACATTGAAAACATGCACAGAGCCACTCGAAAAAATGCGCTGATTATTTCTACGTCGAGAATTAAACGTTGCCTAAACATTTCATACACCAAATATATAGCGTGACTTAATAGGGGATTTGTATAGAAATCCAAAATGAGAGCGCATATTATCGGAAAGAAAAAATCTTCCAAAGGCTTCGAAAGCCATCTCATTCGATGGAGCTTGAAAAGCTGTATAAAATGGTAATATTTCCAAATAAAAAAAAACGATGGCCAGTGTGAATCATAGGGTCAATATTGTGAAAAACCCAACTAAAATACCTAGAATCCAGGTTTTCTTCCACTATACTTGTATAAGCTTAGTTACTTGCTTCAAGATGGTTTGTATCTCACTCGATAGAGCTTGAAAAGCTGTACAAAATGGTAATATTTCTAAATCGAAAAAACGATGGCCAGTGCGTGACCAGGACTCCAATATTGTGAGAAATCCACGAAAATTCCTTAAATCTTGATTTTTTGCCAATAACCTTGTAAAGAATGAGCTTTCTGATTCATGATGGTTTATTTCGCATTCAATAGAGTTTGAAAGCTGTACAAATAGTAATATTTTCAGGTTGAAAAAGGGTGGGTGATGGTGAGCCTTAAGAGGCAATAGTGCAGAAAAATGCCTCTAAATTTTCTCCACTGAGTTGTCTAGGATATTGTAACATGGGAGGGAAGGTGATTGAGATAGGCTGTGTGGAATTGTCACACTGTGCATGTTATATTTCGGGCATAAGTTCAGGAGGCTGTTTCCTTAGGGCAAAACAGTTTACATCCTTCTGTATGTATGGTTACCAGAAAGGAAGGAATGAATGCTTTTTGGGTATGGTCTGGAAAGATTAGAGACTGTTGGAACGCTTGCTTACTTTAGCAAGGCATTCAGGCTCGTTGCTTCACATTAGTTTCGTTTTGTGATAAACCTTACCGATTGCAATATAGTTTAAAAAAAGACGGTCTTCTGTTAAATATCCTGTTGGTAATGCTGCGGCCCATCTAAAAATTTTAATGTGTCATAGATATATTCAAATGCGTTCGTTGTAAAACAACGAGCTACATTTGGAGAGCTTTTCATGCCTTCAAGGATCTATTGACGACAGATGGAATATATTTCGTGCTTATGTACATTCGCAGTTTTGTTAATCATGCAAATATCCACGCGTCCATGCACCTTGTCGTCCATGTGCTCATCGGCACTGTCATTTATGCGGTGACCACTAGTGTCTTGAGCGGTCCCGTAGTTATCACCAGTGGTGTTCACGCGGTGAACGACACGCACATCTGAAGTAAATCCAGATGCAGTGGTACATTTGTATATTTCATCGATACATTGATCTTATTTCTTTTGTAATGCCACATGAAGGGCGTTATCGATTTTTTCAGTGCATGGTACAAATCAATCATGGTAGTGACAAGTATGCGGTAGGTAGATTCCGACTATTGTGAACATATGTGGCTGCATACTCCGGAAAGCACCTCGATCCTAACGACTCTATTTGCGAAGCCCTGTGAAGGATAGTCTGATCTACGGCGAAAAGCTATGCAAAATAAAATCGATCATCTTGATGTACCGATATATTAAAATGGACACTAAAGAGAATGAAGTGCCTAGCGTAAATTTCTCTGTCTGATCGTTTTCCTGAATCTACTTCTTCCATAAGCTGATAGAACCCGATACTGATATCGTTGCAGAAGATCAGGAGATGCAAAATGAGAAGAAAGAAATGCAAGAAGAAAAAGAAACGGAATCAGTGAAGTTATCAATATGCTGTACATAAAAGTCACATCAGTATAACGGGTTGCCATCAATGCAGGGCTATAATAATTATTCACTTTTTAACTAGGTGTTCGATAGTCTCACTAATGCTTTTGACCAAAAACAACACCATTTTGTACACCTTTTCAAGTGCCATCAAATGAGATATAAACCATCTTGAAGCAGAAAACTAATCCTATACAATTATACTGTCAGAAAAACGACATTTAGGAATTTCGATGGATTTTCCACAATCTTGACCTCGTGCTCACACGTTAGTCATCGTTTTTTTTTATTTGGAAATATTACCATTGTATACAGCTTTTCAAGCTCCATCGAATGAGATGGCTTTTGAAGCCTTTGGAAGATTTTTTTCTTTGCGATAATATGCGCTCTCATTTTGGATTTCTATACAAATCCCCTATTAAGTCACGCTATATATTTGGTGTATGAAATGTTTATGGAACGTTTAATTTTCGACGTAGAAATAAGCAGCGCATTTTTTTTGAGTGACTCTGTGCATGTTTTCAATGTCTTCAAAGGCAAAATAAAAACGGGCCGATTCGCGTCCTTATGCGCCCATCCTTAGAAACGAGTAGGTATTTTTGACCTTTCAATAAAGTTTAAAGAGAGCGAATGGAAACGTGTGATAATAAAGGTGTGGGTGTGGGTGTCGTGGACGATAAGAATGAAAACAACACTTACACCCACCCCACCCCACACCCACACCCTTCGAATGTGAAACGCGGCGGAAATCACGTGCAAGTGACGTTGTGCAGCGACTCGTCAGAGTTGTTGTCGGAAGCCATCAATGAATTTCGTAATTATTTGTTGATTACAGACTCTTTCCTGTTAACACAAGATGAAGTTTCATTCATTCTAAAGACACAAAATTTTCGGACGAATCATGATCGACAAAATCATATTCGAAATTATTGTATCGATTTTGTTCAATCGAGGAAGAATTGCCACGTGTATGTCGTAATTCTTCCGAAGAAAGGTTCCTGGTGTGTCCAAGTGAAAGGATTTCGAGAACATGTCGACACGATCATGCTCGAAATGAAGAATTTTCTCAGCAAACATGTTCAAACGGAGCAACAAATCGTGATTTCCACACCCATGACCATTTACCTACGGAAGAAAGGTTCAAGTGATTTGAAAACACTGGGGAAAACGCTTGGCATCAGGATTCAGCCGTTTTCACTGGATCGTTTCAAACCTGACGAACAAGACGATAAAAACTCTTATTTGAAACTTACTGGTTCGATTAGCCGCGTCAATGATGCGCGAAATGCCGTCGTCACATTTCTCGAAAACTTGTGTGAACAAGAGAGACAGTATCCTTGTCCGAGTTGGGACATTGCAACAAAGATTGAGCGAAAGGTTCGAGCGCATCTCATAAAGCTCCTCGACTCGAAAGATTGTTCAGCAGTCGGTTGGCTCAAAAACTACTCTAGGACTGTTCGACTCGAAACACAGCCCGAAAATACACTAACAGTGGTTGGGTTCAACGAAGATGCGACTTCGAACGTGTTCCAACAATGCGAAAATCTTATCGGAGAATTCTTGGTTTGGACGCCATCTGATGGGGAATTTGACATGATATTTCAAAGATTGATCGTGAGAAAATCGCCGTCGCTCAAAGAATTCGAAAACGAATGGGACGCGAATATCCAGTTGAAGCGTGATCCGAATTCGATCATCATTTGGGCACGATCGAAAATGCTCGTTGCTGAGATTCAGACAGCGATGCTCACTTTGGCAAACAAACAGCCGGCGCGACAGAAACGCCGTTCGGAATTCATTCGAATTCCAAAGAATATTCGTCGATTCATCGACGAAGACACAAAATCGCTAATCGACGAGGCCAGAGCACAAGAAGTTTTCCTCGAATCGAGAGGTGGTGAAGTATTGATATTTCGTGGTCCTTTAGATCACGTTATAAAACTGAAAGAAAAGATCGACAACATTATTAAACGTGCGCAAGAGCAGGTTGTCGAGCGCCGTTTACGATTTGCACTGGTCGAGTCCGATTTCTTGCGTGCAAACAATTACAAAGTAGCATTAAGGGTGGAAGAAGAAACAAATACAGTTATTCGTTATATCAACGTTGATTCGAATGATGAAAAGACCAATTTCGTAAAAATCATTTTTCAAAATATTCGCGGTCAGACAATAATCGTCGATATAGGCGACATTACCAAGGTCGAACACGTCGACGCCATCGTCAACGGAGCAAATGGGTCTTTGAAGCACGCTGGCGGTGTTGCTAAAGCGATTGCGAAAGCAGCTGGGCCCGCATTGGATCAAGAATGCAAAGAATTGATTTCGAACAACGGCGACTTACCAATTCCTGTTGGCCGAGCGG